CGCGGCACCCGCGGGAACCCGTGGAGTTGTCGGACCCGTGGGGCCTGCGGGACGACCTGCGACGTCCGCGGGCCCTGTGAGGCGTGCGGTACCCCTCGGGACCTGCGAAGCTTGCGAGGCCTGCGGGATCCAGCAGGGTGGCCCACGCTGGAGCGAGAGCGCGGTCCTGAAGGACGGGAGCACGGTGCCGATCCGAGAAGGAGGCCCACGCTGCAGCGAGAGAGCCCTTTTTGAGAACTGAGAACGCTCGAATGGCAAAAACATGTGAAGGCCAGGTCGGCCCAATCCTGTGTAGGAAAAGCAAAATGCGGAGGGGGGTGGAGGATATTCCGGACAGGGTCAGGGAAGAGAGGAGAGCAGTATTCAGATTGTGTAATCGTGAAGGGGGAGGTGGGGAAAGCACGAGTAGGGCTGGGGGCAGGTTGGGGCGGGCTGGATTTGTTTAGGGCTTGCAGGGGATTGAGGCGCGCGATGGTGCGATTCGGGGGGTGGGGGGGCGCAATTGGTAGGGGCCATGGGGGAGGAAACGAGTGTAAGTCCTCTATTCCCTTGTTCTCCTCCCTCCATCCTTCTCCCTCATCCCCCGACTCCATCTTCCTCCTCCCCCTCCTGCTCCTCCTCCTCCTCCTCTATCCCTCTTCCTTATGAATAACCCCTCCCTGTCGCAACAGCCGAGGTGACGTTAGGGTAGGCCGGGCGTTTCGCTTGAGGCGCCTTTCCCGTCTACGAAATTGAAGCTTGAAGTCTGCAACACTAACATTGACGTTAGGCTGGGCCGTTTTCAAGACGGGGCTCTCGACTTGGCGCTGCGCATGCGCGTCTTAAACATGCACAACAGGTAGACTGGTGGAGGGCGGGTCGATTTCAACATGGTGCTCTCGCCCTGGCGCCGGGCGCATTGGTCGTCAAAACTTCATCAGGTCGAAATGTGGTCAACATGGAGCTCTCGCACTGGCGCCGCGCACATTCGTGTTAACATGTTTCACCTGTCCCACAGACGGAGGGGAATCCCTGTTCACACTTTGTTCCGTCTGAGAGTTGCCAAAACAGATCGGAGTCTATATCAGTTGCGTAATTGTTAGACGGATGGAGGGCGAGTGCTCTCCCAAAGGGGGCTTCTCGCTTGAACTCATAGGGAGATCTCATGGCCAAAAGCTGCAACATCTACAACAGCTACACGGATGGAGGGCGATTCCTTCTCGAAGCGGGTTTGCCGTTGGAGACATCATCTCATCTGATGTTCCCACCTTGTCGTACACTTTAGGCGATGCTTAAGAAAACGCAAGTTTTCGGCCAGAGTCTCGATTCTTCTTAATGTTTCAATGTGAATCCCGAGATTTGAATAGACATTCTGGGATTTTATTCAAATTCTGAGACTATGAATTTCTTAACCCATGATTTCTTAAGCATTTCGCAGGGTGTAGTCTTTCTGGCGTGACGTCTCGGCTGGCGCTCCGTTCCCGAAACGGGGCTCCCGCCCGAATGGCGGGCCCGCGGGGCCCTGTCTTTCCAGAGGTCGCGTCGCGCAGTGAGGGGAAATCCTCGTGAGGACTCGTGGGCAAGGGACTTGGGACGGGAGGGTGTGTTGCAGCATTGTTGATACGTCCTGGGTTCCATACCGGCCTCCTCCTCGTCCTCTTCATCGTTCTCTTCCTCATCCCGCGTCCACCTTCGCATCCCCCCTCCACCCCCTCATTCTCGTGTGTCGCAGAATTTGGTGTCCTACTCGTCATCCGTCCCCCCGTTTGCCTCCCCCTCCCCTTCCTCCTCCTCAGGTTCCTCCACTTGTTTCTCCTCCTCCGGTTCCTCCCTCTTTCCTCCTCCGCCTCCTCCTCCTCCGCCTCCTCCTTCGTTTTCTTATCACCATCCTCATCATGATCATCAGCAGCAGCATCTTCATCAGCAGCATCATCATCAGCATCGGTATCATCAGCGGCAGCATAATCAGCATCGTCATCATCCGCAACCTCATCATAACCAGCATCATAATAATCGACGTAAGCATCATCACCATCACCATCACCATCACCATCCGCCTCATCATCATCATCATCATCATCATCATCATCATCATCATCATCATCATCAGTATCATCATCAGTATCATCACCATCATCATCATCAGCATCACCATCATAATCAGCATCAGCATCATCATCATTATCGTAATCAGCAGCAGCATCATCATCTCCATCCACATCCCCATCATCATCCTCATCCTCCTCCTCTTTCTTCTCCTGTTCCTCGTCATCCATCTCCTCCTCCACTTCCCTTCTTCTCCTCCTACTGCTACTCTTCTTGCTACTCCTCCTCCTCCTCCTCCAGAAATGCTCCATACGAGTACTGCGCCCCCCTCTCCCCTGAAGATCGCCGGGGAGTCGCCCGCCCCCCCTTGCGCGCACTGTCCTTCAGAAAGTGCTGTTCGATCGGAACGTCAGCGTTCCCTCAGATTTGCGTCGCCGCCAAAGCGCTGGCCTCACTTTAGGATCGGCGCTGTGCTCCCGTCGTTCAGAGAGGGTCTCTCGCTTCAGCGAGGGCCACTCGTTTGGGGATCCGCGTCTGTCCTCATTGTTGTCGCCCCCCTCCCTTCCACTCCTCCGCCTTCCCCTGGTCCCGCTCCCCCCGCTCGCACTGCTCCAGGTCATGCTGTTCGCTATCGTCCTCCTCATTCCTAGTCCTCCTCCTCCTCCTTTTCCTCCTGCTCAGCCCCCTGCTCATCCACCACCTCCTCCTCCTCCTCTTCTTCCTCCTCCTCCTCCCCATCATCATCATCATCATCATCATCATCATCATCATCATCATCATCATCATCATCATCATCATCATCATCATCATCATCATCATCATCATCATCATCATCATCAGCCACTGTCCGCAGCTCCCCTTTTTCCCTGACCTTGCGGAGGGGTTCCCGTTTAGTGTTCTCCTGGGGGGCTGGGGGGGTACCTCCCTGGACATGGCCCCTGCCACGGGCGGAAGACGGCCGCTGTCGGCCCCATTTCGGCAGACGCGTTTCCTGGCGGCCCAGACGGCCCCAAGAGGGTCCGCAAGATGGTCCAAGAGGGCCACGAATCGCCGAAAGATCGGTCCAAGATGCCCAGGGTGGCTTGAACATGTTCCAAGAAGCCTTCAAGAGGCTTCCAGGAGGGCCTCCAAGAGGCCCTCCAAGAGAGCCCCAGGAGTCAAAATAAATGTGTTCCTTACGTTTTTGAAGGTTTATCGCGTTTTCGCCTTATCGGCTTCCTGACGCTCCAAGTCGGCCCAAGAGGCCCCAAAGATCGCCCCCAAGCTGCTTAAGGGACCCCCAAGAGAGCGCCCATACGCCCCAAGACGCCCCCAAGAAGGCCCAAGAGGCCTCCAAGACGGCCCAAGAAGGCCCCAGGAACGCTCCAAGAAAGGCCCCAGATCGGGGGCAGGAACCGACATTAGGGGCTCTCCACCCAGAGAACCCCCAGGAGGCCCCAAGAAGCCCCCAAGAGGCCCCAAGAAGTCGTGAACCAGCAGAATGCGCCTAAAGCGGCACAGCGTCAAACGGACAACACGGGAATCAGCAGTATGCGCCCTCTGGCATCTTCTTCTTCTTCTTCTGTTGCTTCTTCTTCTTCGTTTTATGTTTATCCTTCTTATTATTAGTAGTATTCTTCTTTGTTTTTCGTGTCCTCGCAAGTCACGCCAATTTGTCCTCCAATGTCGGGGTTCGTAGCAATATCAGGCTCCGATTGCACATAACAAGATGGGATCTGCAAAGACTTCCAGATCCGCTATGACACATGTCCGCGGATAGAGAAGAAATCAGCATAATGGGAAGGGATGGGTTAGACGGGTAGGATGTCAAGCGTGGCGCGAGGGCACCTAGCTTGTCATCCTCCTGATCCTCCTCCCCCTCCTCCGCCTCCTCCTCTCTGATCGCTCCTTCTACACTTGGTCAATACGAATACTACTCTTCTTTCTCCCCTGAAGTTGTCCCCGGCTTTGTCCCGCCCTCCCCACGCATTGTCATAACACAGGAATTCAACATATGTTTATTTCGGATGGTTGTTGGCCATCCGATTGTCTCTTGATGTTTCGAAAAGGTGTTCCCACTGCAGCCTGGGCCGCATTGGGGGAGCGGTGCTTTGCTCCCGTCGTTCAGAATGGCGCTCTCGCCCCAGCGTGGGCCACCCACTGGTCTCGCAGGTCTCGCAGGTCCCACGGATACCACACGTCCCACAGGTGTCGCAGGTCGTCCCACAGGTCCCACGGGCACCACAGGTCTGACAGGTTCGGTCCCACAGGTCCCACACGCGTCGCAGGTCCCACAGGCCCCATAGGCCCCACAGGTCCGACAGCCCCCGCAGGTCCCGCCAGTGCCACAGGTCTCGCAGGTCTCGCAGGTCTCACAGTTTCGACAGGTCCCATGTGGTCTTGCAGGTTCCACAGTCCCCACAGGTCTCACAAGTCTCAGGCCCTACAGGCCACAGAGGTCTCCCACGTCGCACGGGTTCCACAGGTCCCACATGCCCCACAGGCCACAGAAGTCCTGAGGATTTCACTGGTCCCACGGATCGCACATGTCCCACATTTTCAACCTGCACCACAGATCACCTGTGCCGGGTGCTTTGCCTGGGTACGGAAGCTCCAGGGCGGCTATGGCACGCGTCCGCGGGTAGAGGAAAATCAGCGCAAGAGGAAGGGATGGGAGTGAGGGGTAGGGTGTCAGATGTGGCGCGGGCGCACCTGGCTTGCCTCTCTCCTCTCCCCCTCTCTCCTCTCACGTCCTCCTCCCCTTTCTCCTCCTCCTCCTCCTCCTCCTCCTCCTTCTCTCCCCTCCTCCTCCTCCTCATCTTCCTCCTCTTCCTCCTCCTCCTCCTCCTCCTCCTCCTCCTCCTCCTGCTCCTCATCCTCGTCCTCCTCCTCCTCTTCCTCATCCTCCTCCTGCTCCTCATCATCGTCCTCCTCCTCCTCTTCCTCCTCCTCATGCTCTTCCTCCCCCCCTTCCCCCTTGCACCCCTGCCTTTCAGGAAGCCGCAGGCGGGCGCCGGCCAGCAGCTGGTCGCCGGCTCAGCTTCGAGACGCGCGGCACGGGGCGGGGCGCTCCAGCAAGGGCCTCGTCTCCGAAGGGTCCGGAGCTGGGCACCTCTTCTCGGCGACAGCCGGCGGACGTCAAACGGCGGCGGGCCTGCCGGTGGAAGCCGGCGGACGGTGGCCAGAGAGCCAGCGGGAGCACGAGTTCGTCCTCGACAACTGTTGGGGGGTGCAGGGCTTCGGAAATCCACCAGATGGGGGCAGGTTTCCCCATGTTTGTCCTACGTTTCGTCCTCTCGAGGGGTCCGGGGTGAAGGGGTGCCCCGGAGATCATGAGCTGACAACTCGCATCCATACCTATGCGACCCCCAGGTTTGTCGGCGTGGATCTCTGGAAGGGCAACGGGGGTCCCCGCTCGACCTTGGTCCCTCTCGGGGTCCGACGGTGCGACGTCCCGCACAAACATATCTTGCGCAGCATCAAAGCGCGAGACGCGGGTCAGCCACCCTGTAGGTATGGGGGGGGGGTGTTGTTCGATCGTCACGAGCGAGGCCCACAGATTGAAAGATCACTGCGTCGGGTGCCTGGGGGGACAAGCAGCCGGTCAGCCGCGGCAGCAGGGGCGGATATCCCAGACCTCCTCCTCCTCCTCCTCCTCCTCCTGCTCCTCATCCTCCTACTCGCACTGCGAAGAAAAAACACGGCGGGAGTTTCGTTGCAATGTTCGGCCTCTGGGGGCCCTTACCGGGCCCTGGGGCCGTCCGAAAAAAGCTCGGGGTAAACACTGCCAATTACGCAGCTGTGGCCGCTTTCGCGGGCTCCTGGGAGGCCCCGCGGAGTGTTACGTGGACCCATGTGGACCCGACGAGACTTCGCTGCTTCCTGTAGGGGCTGTTACATGCGCAATTGTCGCCTGTTTCGTGGGCTCCGTGGAGGCTCCGCAGAGTGGTGTCGTTCGCGGACCCAGGCGAGACCTCGCGGTTCGCTGGGGGGGGCCAAGCCTACAATTGTCATCGCCATTCTCGTGGGCTCCTGGGAGGCCCAGCGGATATGTCTTGCACGCGGACCCAGGTGACTCGTCGCGCGCTCCTTGCGGGGGTTGCCAACTGCGCACCTGTCGCCACTTTCGCGCTTTCCTGGGTGGTGCAGCGGAGAGGAGGGACACGCGCGTCCGGTCGAGACTTCTTTGGCGAACCGTTTCCGGAGATGTAGCAGACCCCTAAGTGTGTTCTTTCGTATTTGTATTGAGCGGTCCTCTTTATAGCCGCCTCGTGTTTGAAAGGGGTTGGGCAGGTCTCGGGTAATTTCGGGTTCAGGGTTTGCAGATTGGGCCACATGCCCAGACCTGGAACGCATTATGAATAACAAGACAGGGTTGTTTCTTCATGCTCGTCTTGATGCTGTTCCAGCGCCGTGGACCGTCAGAATTGCTCGGGGTGGAAACTGGCCCAGGTGAAGGGGTCGGGAGTTCGAGGATTCTGCGTCGAAGAAACGGCGTCGGAGGTTTGGGCATTGAGGAGGGCATTCCAGGAAACGAGGGTGTTGCCAAAGTCACATCTCGCATGTCCTCTTCTTACGGCGTGGCAGAGCGCAGCAGTTCCACAGCCTGGGTGATGTGAGGGAAGTTCGGGCAGATGCGCTGGCCAGCGTGGAGTCTTGTTGCGAATCCCATGCGTTGCTCTCTGCCCCGTGCATGCTGTACGAGTGATCTGCGCGTCATGCGTTGCATCGTTCTTATATTCAGCATTCGGTGGGGGCATTGGTCAAAGGGATGTGCCTGGGAGGCTTCAGATCCCGGAGGATCCCTTATCTGACGAGGGCGGCGGCGACATCCATGGCCAAGCCTCGATTGGCGTTCCACCGGCTTCCAGACCCTGGATTCCTTATCTGAGGGTTCCTTATCCAATGCCCCCACCGTATACATGGATTGTTTGCCAAGCGTCATGAATCATGACTGCTTTGCACTGCCGAAGTGATGATGGAGCCGAGGCGGCCCAGCTGGCTGGCCCCTCGAGCGGCGCTGGAGTGCCCGCAGGCGACGCGGCGAAAGACATGCGACAGGCGTGGGCATGTAGGGAGCTTCAGGGCGGGATCAGGAGGATGGGAAGGAGTTCGGACGAAGATGAGAACGACGCCCTTTCCTTGACCCCTCGATGCGGATCTCCTCCCGCCCGTCTTCTCTTAGTCATAACCATGCATGACTTCGATCCGCATCTCGAAGACGTGCCAATTCGACGTCTCCAGTCTCCACTGCCTTCCCATCCGCTGCAGAATCGCCCAAGGGTGCTCTGTGTCGGGCGCCAGCTACGACGCCGCGGCGAGGAGAAGCGGAGCAGAGGGGACGCACAGGAGGGGTCGTGAGCTCGCACCGCTGCGAGGGCAGAAGTCTTGGCACGGCGCTTTGCTTCTGATTGGGCATTGCCACCAGATATGGGGCGAACGCCCTGTAGAACGTTCGATCTGTTCGAGGCCTTGTTGAAACGCACGGACGCACCGGTGGACACCGATACCAGCAGCAGTGGCCCCTGCAAGCAGCCGAGCAGAAAGGATACGAACGACAGTGGAACGGGTTGGGAGCTCATGGCGCGCAGAGCGTTGCGAAGAGCATCCCCCCAGCCAGCGCGAAAGTTAGTCGAGCCAGCAATGTGAGTTTCCCAGCGAGCGATTGTAAGGCAGCGCCTTGGCCAGCATGGTTCGCGTGCCTTGCCTGTGGCGGCCGGGAAGAGAAACTCGGTGCCTGCGGCACGGTCTCCCATATGGTTCCCCGTATCCCGCATTGCCTCCCATACGGTGGGGGCGCTTGTTAAGGAATGCGTCCAGGAGGCTTCAGACCCTGGAGGATTCCTTATCCAATGAGGGCGGCGGTGATATCCATGGCCGATCCACGATTGGCGTTCCGCTGGCTTCCAGACCCTGGATCCCCTCTCTACGGGTTCCTTATCCAGTGCCCCCGCCGTATGGTTCCCCGCATCCCGCAATGCCTCCCGTGTGGTCTCCCGTGTGGTCTGTCGCACGGTCTCCCAAGTGGTGTCCCGTGTGGCCTCCAGCACGGTCTCCCGCAGGGTCTCTTGCGTCTTCCGTATGACCTCCCGTACGGTCGCCCGCACGGTTTTCCGTCTGATATCCCGCATTGTTTCCCGTGGTCGCCCAGTGGAGGAGCGAGCGAGGAGAAGGGGGAGGAATCCCGGGGAGGAGCAGAGAGGAGTGATGAGGTGGAGGAGAAGAGAGAGAGTGAGAGAGAGGAGGAATAAGAGAGGAGGAGAACGGATGGAAGGATCAAGGCTGAGGAGGGGAGAGGGAATAGGGATGAGGAAGAGGCAGAAAGAGAGAGGTGGTCGTGGAAAGATGAGGAGTTGGAGGAAGTCGAGGACGAGGAGGAGGAGGAGGAGGAGAAGGGGAAGTGGGGACATTCATAAATGGAGCAGGGGAAGGAGGAGAGGGAGAATGATGAGCAGGGGAGAGACGAAGACGAAGAGGAGGAGGAGGAGGAGGAGGAGGAGGAGGAGGAGGAGGAGGAGGGGGGGAGGAGGAGGGAGGGGGAGGTAGGGGGAGGGGGGAAGAAGAGGACGAGGAGGAGGAGGAGGAGGAGGAGGAGGAGGAGGAGGAGTGCGGCAGCGAAGACAGCCGTGCTTAGTTTTCCGCTTGCCGGTCGAAACACACAAACAGTTAACGGCTACCATGTCAATGTTGTTATTTTGGGATCCTCATCATCTTGGCCGTCCTCCTTCGGCTCCATCCCCTGCTCCACACGGGATCGGTGGGGGCGTGGCCAGGTGCTGGCAATGCAGCTGCGCCAGACGCTCACCTCCAGTGTCCCCAGGACCCGTATAGCTTCCATTGCTTCCGCCTTGATTCGTTGGTCCGCCTGCTTACAAGGGACTACGGTCGAAGAGGAGGAGGGGGAGGGAAGAAGGAAGAGGAGGAGAAGAAGGAAGAGGAGGAGGGCGAAAAGCTCTGAGTGGGGTGGAGGGGGGGAGGAAGGGGCAGGACCGGGAGCCGAAAAGGAGAGGAGGAGGCGGAGGAGGAGGAGGACGACGAACAATGAGACAAAGAAGAGGCGGTGTAAGCAGTGCCGTGTCAGCTCGGCGACGCAGCATTTGTGGTGGAAGCGATGTGGTGCCAGTCACCAGGCGAAACCTCGACAGCCCTCCGGAGGGGGAGGCGAAACCAGCGAGGAGGAGGAGGAGGAGGAGGAGGAAGAGTGAGGAGGAGGAGGAGGAGGAGGAGGAGGAGGAGCGGAGGAGGAGGAGAGGGATGATGGAAGAGAGATGATGATGATGATTATGATGGATGATGATGATGATGAGAGGAGGAGGAGAGGGGAAGAGGAGAAGGAAGGAAGGGAGGAGGAGGAGGAGAGAGGACAGGGAGGAGGAGGAGGAGGAGCAGGCGAGCCTCCGTGGCGCGCACGGGCAGAGCCGCCCCTCGAGGCCCCGGCAGACCCGCCCAGCGCACGTGGCGCACGCGGGCGGCCACCGGGCGAATCCTCGGCGGACCCCCCCATCTTGTGCC